ATCTATCTATCTATCTATCTATCTATCTATCTATCTATCTATCTATCTATAGTTAGGTCCCAACTAGTGTGAATAATGAATTCTGTAAAATGGTCTCATTTATTTAAATTTGCAAGTTAATTCAAATTTGAAATTATAATTATGTAAAATATGTTCATTGGTTCCAGCTTAATGGAAATATACAGTACAACTTTCAAATAATGTGATTATTTCATGGGATTCATTATTAATACTAACTGAGACCTAGCACGCTCTCTCTCTCTCTCTTTCCATCTCTCCCTTCCCCTCTCTTCTCCCACCTCATAACACCTATATATAACACATACGACGTATACACATACAATATGAATGCATGTACATATGTGTGTATATATACACATATATAGCATGCATACGTATATGTGCATATGTACCTGCATATATGGATTCATGTGCAGGCATACAAATATACATGCATGAACACATGTGAATGCATGTGTATATTGTAAATATATGTACGTAAATGAAATATGTAAAATATAAATATATGTAAACATGTATATATTGTATTATATTATATGTTACATTATATATTATATTGTATTATACTGCATTATATGTTATATATAATATGTTCAAATCCTGTTTTCTATTAATACAATCTTGAGATGTCAAGTTTTCAGAGTGATGTTGATTCGCCTGCTGTGATCAAGTGTAATACCTGTTTTTCTTTGTCAAGTAGTTCTTGAAAAAGTGTCCATTGCTTTTCTCGGAATTGGTCTGACTTCTCCAAGTCAAGGGCTCCACTGTGTTGAACGTCTTGCTTCAAGTGCTCGCATTCTCCCAAGGAAAGGCCAGTCACCCCCAAGAGGGTATGAAGAAATGTTTCTTCCATGAGTTTTTCAAAGGTTTGGATGCTACTGCTATATAGCTCCTAAAAAACAAAAATATAAATGAGCAGAATCGATCCTGCGGGATTACACTTCCTTGGAACAGTAAAAGGGGGCCATGTGGGGTGATAGAGGGTGGAATTGTGGGCATGCCATTTTCTCTCTCTGGTTTCTTATTTTCTTATTTACAAAATGAGAGCTCCCAAGTCCTTGACCCCTCTCTGTAGGAGTGGCCATGCTGCCTGGTTGGAGGATGGATAGAGATCTGGCTTAGACTTCAAGTCCTACTTCTGACACAGATGAGCTAGGTGATCCTAGGTGAGTCACTTAACTTTATAGCATTCAAGGCAACTAAGGCTATAAGTTGCAGAGCAGGCGGGGATCTGCACTGGTAAAGGGTGTTTCCTCATTGGAACTTCCTTGTGCAGTGAAATCACATTTCCCCCTCCCCCCAAAAAACAGAGGTTGAGATGATCTTCAACGCATAGATTCACAAGCTTTGTATGTGTGTGTGTCATGCATCCTTTTGGCAATCTGGGGAAGCTTTTGTACCCCTTCTCAGAATACTTTTAATAGCCAACATTTATAACAGCCAGCGTTTAAATAGTGCTTAACGTTTGAAAAGCACTTTACAAATATCATCTCATTTTATCTCTATCACAACCCTGAGAGACAGGTACTGTTATTATAATCCCCATTTTACAGATGTGGAAAGCAAAGCAGATAGAAGTTAGATTATTTGCCCAGGGTCCTGCAGATAGTACATGTCTAAGTCTGGATTTAAATTCAGGTCTTTCTGATTCTAAGACCAGTGGTGCATCCACTGTTCCACCTAACAGCTATTAATTGTATAAAATAAGATACATTGGATTACAAAGTAAACCAAAAGTTGGCGAAAGCTAGGATACATTTTTCCCATCCAAAATCACAGACTACTCTGAAGTCTATATAGATCAAGTTAAGAACCCCAGTTCTTAATGTGCCTTATTGTACCTTTATGTTTGCTTTATGGCAGCTAGGTGGTGCAGTGGATAGAGTGCTAGGCCTGGAGTCAAAAAGACCTGAATCCAACTATGGCCTGAGACACTTACTAGCTATGTGATCCTGGGCAAGTCATCTGACCCTGTTTGCCTCAGTTTCCTCATCTGTAAAATGGGCCGGAGAAGGAAATTGCAAACCACTCCAATATTTCTGCCAAGAAAACCCCAAATGGGGTCATGTAGAGTTGAACACAACGAAAAATAACCCAACTACATTTGCTTTATATTAACTTGTGCATGTTGTATTCCTCCCTTTTCTGCTCACCCAGTAGAATGTAAGCTCTTTGAAGGCTGTCACTACTTTGTTTTTGTCTTTGTATCTCCAATGCCATGCTTAAAGCCTTGTTTGTAGTAGGCACTGTTTACTGAAATGAATCAAATTCCAGCTCTAATGAACCAAATCCTGATAATGAGACCTGTTTTAATTCCTTCTGTCGGACATACTCAGAGGACCCACCAACACTCTTTATTGACCAGCAAGGCAATGCTAAAGTGATCTGATGTCTTATCCAGTTCACAGTGCCTAGAATCAAGGGCTTGGTGAGATGGTATAATTAGAAGACAAAGGAGACAAGATGAGTGTCTGTCTTGATGCTCACTCCTTCAAAGCCTTCATCTCAAGTAAGAGTCCTTTTGATTGGTGAACTAAAAGTCCTCCTTAATCACAAAATGCTCTCTGGGAAGGGCAGCACACTATATATCACTAATTCCTTTACAACTGAGCTATCAGAACCCATTCATACTAAATGATCAGAATCCATTTACATCTATACTAAACTGTTCATGTTAATTAGAATCACTAATATTTCCTGAGGAATTAATGTATTTTACACACACACACACACACACACACACACATATACAACACACACACACCCCACCCTTATAAGGATGGATCAGATAAGGGAATAACAACATTTGAAATGTATGATGCAGATCACACACCTTCTACCCCCTAATCATTCCCTTTGCACATTTTCTGCTTCTATTTGTTTTTCTCCTTTGATCTGTTTTGGCTCCCAAAAATCAATATCTTGTCTTTCCCAACCAGGAAGAATTGGAAGTCTATGATCCATTGTTTTCCCCAAAGAGTCAGAACTCTTCCAAGTTACTTTTGAAAGGTTTCCAACTCCCTGGTTAAGACCTCACATGTCTCTAATGAATTTATCTTATAATACTGTGCATTAAAATTATTTGTTTATAGCATGTCTTCCTACTAGACCAGGAATTCCACTAAGGTGGTTACTTTAGCTTAATCTGAACTTTGTATCTTTCCTAGTGCTTAGCCCAGTGCTCTGTACCCAGAAGGTGTTTAATAAACGTGTGGGTATGGGATCTTATAGCTGTAATCCTTGCTACTGAGGCTGAGACTAGTGGACCACTTGAATTTGGAAGTTCTGAAATTCAGTGTGCTAAGACAACTAGCTGTCTACACTCTTTAGTACCAAAGTGGTGAGTCCCTGGGAGCAGTGTCTTAGGAGAAGCAAGCCAGGCCAGGTTGAAAATGAAACAAGTCAAAAATCCCTTGCTGACCAGTAGTGGGTTGGCTCCATGAATAGGTGCTGCACTTCCAGCCTGGAATAGATTGGGAGACCCAATCTACCCTCCCCCAATAAAAATGGGTCATGAAGGAAGCAAATATGGCAGGCAGACTGGAGGACTACCTCACCACAGTTAAAGACAGATCCTTTAATGAGGGAATGCAATTACATATTTTACTTATAAAAGAAAACAAAACTTCTATTCAGAGATTTATTACTGTTCGTTAAAATACTCATAAAAGAGCAACATGGTGTTTCCAGAGATACTACCTTTTTTTAGTTTCTTTCAAAATTCCTTTTGTTAAAACAGAGTATATTCTCCATTTGACAAGTGTTCTTAAATTAGTCTATATGCGGGATGACAGACAATTGTAAACGTTTTTCAAAACACTTCAACAACAAACTGTATTTTTTAAAAAGATTCTGAGATAAAATCTAGACTTCATCTGTATGATGGGGATAATTAGACATGCATTACCTCTCATGGGGCTGTTGGGAGGATCAAATGAGATAATGTATGTCAGCCCCAATCATCATCATCATCATCATCATTAATTATGCAAATGGCAGCAGTATTTGGCAGTGGAAAGAGTGTTGGATTTGGAGTCAGAAGAGCTGGGTTTGAACAACAGGGCAGATCACCTTTGCTCTTTCTCCAACTCATCTGTTCTTCACATCTCCCCATCTCCTGTCCCTGACAGGCACCAACACCTTGCATAATTCATCACTGTGTGCCATATTCTGGAAGCCTCAGACCAGGTTTTACCCACATTATACTGTGACTTCTCCACTAGACCTCTCCTCATATTTCACTGTGGCCAAGAGTTAACTGTGAGTCCTCAAAGTCCAGGTGAGCAAAGCAAAATGGCTGGCAGGTTCTATCAAGCTGGGAAGGCTTCAAATGCAGGGTGATGTACTAATTGTCTGAAAACCAAATTAGCTAAACTTGAAGAAGTTCCTTACCAACAGGTTGGCCAACAGGTGATGATTAATTGATTGACTAACTGCTTTTGGCATAGTAACCTAGGAAACCATATACTAAGGTAGTAGTCTTTAATAACAACAATAATAAAAAAAGCTAACATTTATATAGCACTTACAATGTATCAAGCACTATGTTAAGTGCTTTTCAATTATCTTATTTGATCCTCACAGCAACCTTGGGAGGTAGGTGCTATTATTATCCCCATTTTACAGGCAAAACAAAACCAAACAAAGGCTATGGGACTTGCCTGGGGTTACTTGCCCTGTGGACAGGAGGTAACTTGCCCATGTACTAATAAGAATAATGTTTTAGTTACATAAAATAGAATACATAAAATTACAAAAGAAACCAATTACGTTGAAATAATGATGCATTTTTTTTTCCAATTCAAGTTCATGCATCACCTGAAATCAATCTATAGACCCTGGGTTACAAACTCCTATCGCTCAACGTGGCAGTATGGTGCCCTTTCTCTAGAGTGGGTGGTCCTAACACCACAACACCACCGTTCTTTTAAATATTGTAGTATATTCCAAAGGCTGTGTGACAGCTGCCAATTTCTCTGACCCTTGGGAACTTTCCAACTTACCAGCTCAAGAACCATCTCCCTTGAATTGCTTCACATTCCTGTGATAACTCCTGATTGCTGAGATTCTGCTGTTCTATGAAAGACCAGGGTATATTTAATTTGGTGGGTTTTTAAAAAATTTGGAATGAAAATAAGCTTTAAAAAATTGGTTTTTTTTAAAGGAACCATTCCCTTTCCCTAAAAGTCCAGGTTACTCTGTTCTACCATTTGGTCCTTCAGTTAGGCATAACGCATAACAACTTTATTGATGCTGTCAAGCTACTATATACTCAAATGGATTTCTGATCTCATTGATTTGGAAGTTCTCTCCAAGGATGCAAATTACATTCTATCCATGTCCTCCCATAAACTGGCTGCAGGAATCCACCCAATGTGCTGGAGACCTTCTTTGCTTCTTCTTGTCCTTACCACATGAGCAGCCCATCTTTATTACTGTTATCATCATCATCATCATCATCATCATCATCACCACTATCATCACCACCATCATCATCATCACCACCATCATCACCACCACCCCCACCACCATCATCATCATCATCATCATTTTCCTGTACATGATTCCTTGATGCTGTATTTCATTGCTGTTCTTCAGGGTTCCTCATCAGTTATATATTACAGTCCACTCACACTTACCATGTACCTTTCCATTTCCTTCTGTTTGATTCTCATTTGAATTTCTTTGAAGAGACTGTTCTATTTCATGTTTAATACCACATGGCAATACTATTAGAATGTTGGTATTAGTAATATGAGCCTCTGCTTTCATGGGAAGCTTAGAATCATTAAGGAGCTTCACAATTTCCTGAAGGCAATCCTACACATTCTCTTCTTGTTCAACTCTGGGTGCAGCTCATTGCCTACCACTATTTTACTATCCATAAGTTCA